CCTATATTAGTCTTGTTTGACTCTCCTATAATAAACAAACTAGCAGTACAAAAACACGTCAAAGAGTTTGCAGAAATGTAATTTGCAAACTCTTTCCCTTTTGTAAACAGAGTAGAAGAAATTAGCCATGAGCTGTTTGTGGCTTCCAAAAAACGGGTTAATATTTCACCTAAGTTTTTATCGATACTGGAGTAGGAACTTTGAAGGCTAACTGTAAGCTTATGTAAAAACTGCAGCGCAGATTGCAATACTGCGGATTCTTTTTTCTTAAAAGCTACTGCAGCACAAGGCATCTCCAAATATCGGAAGTCCGCATGAACTTAATCCGTGGAAGACACTGTGAGAAGTTGTTCTTCCTCGCTTTAATCACAATCATGAGGCGCGTAGGCTTGAAACTTTTTTTTAAATTGCGAAAAAAATTCTCATGTGCTTTTTTGAATACTTCAGATGCTTTTAGTTTTAGAGGCAGCTGCCCTGTCTGCTCAGGCTCGAAGTGTTCTGCCCATGTTGGCCGCTGGCAACCCGGCATTAGCTCGGTCACCAACAATGGCGGTAGCCGGTGCTCCGATCGTGATGAGTCCCGGACGAGGAGCTGCTGGACAGCAGACTCAGATGCTGGGTTTACAGTCACAGCTGGGCGCAGCCGTCGCTGTTAGCAATAATGCAGCTGCCGTAGCAGCGCAACAAGCGGCAATACTACAGCAACAACAACAACAAGCAGCAGAATATCAACAGTTGCTCCTGAGGTTTGTTCGAATCGTTTTTGGTTCCTGCGTTCATCGTTTTTCTTTTCTACATAAGAGTTGAGTGAGAAGCTCAAAGCTACGCTGGTTTCCACTATATTTATTTAGAAGTCACAAAAAGTTCTGTAGAAGTCTTCTGTCTGGGACCAGTTATCTAGCTATCTTTTTATTTTTCGCTTCTCAATTCTTTCGCTTCAGTCAGATATCAGCTTGTGGTGTTCTCTTATGTAAATTTCGATTATTCAATCAGGGTGCAAGAATTCCATAGATTAAGTACGAGATGAAAAAATTGTACAAAAAGCATGCGTTTCAAACCTTCAAATGAATAATTCAAAGATGTGCTCGTCCTTACGCTTGTTTGGGATTTATAGATTTCGTCAACTAATCTTCCTCTCTGTTCAGATGTGGCCAAATCTCGCCGTTTTCTCAATCAATGTTTTGCAGCCAAGGCTTATCTTACGAGAACTTGGCCAATGTTGCTGCTTTGCAACAGTTTCAACAGGCTCAAGCTCAGCAGCAAGCTGCTGCACAGCAACAGTACAATCTGTTAGGAGCACAATACTCAGATTATGCTGGTGTAGACATCGCTGCTGCTCAGACTGCTCCCGGTGGGTTTCTCGTTCGGAAATGGGCGTAAATCCTTATTTCGCTTTCGATGAAGGCGATGCTTGAACAAAAGCGCTCGATAATGCTAGAACTGTTTCCGGAGCTAGAAATTATGTTAAAGATCCGTTTTGGATTACTCTTGCTCTAGCTTCTTTGTTTTATTCATATTCTGTAGAAGTTTTATTACGCAGTGTACCACTTTATTACTCATATTTGTTGACGGACAGTATTTACTTTGCTGAAATTCGGCATATTCCGACTATTGTGATTTGAATTTAAATACGTGTACAACATGTCTTCCTATTTGCATATCGGTGACCGTGATATCTGCAATTGTGATTACTTGCTTTTTAAGTTTGCATCGATCTCATACGCATAATTCCATATCTCAGTATCGCTTAACACTATTACTATAACAGTTTCATATTCGAGCGTATGGCTAGTGAGTGCATGATACAACACTAAGACTTCGAAATGCTAACTTTAACCAGTATGCTGCTGCTAAGCTGCGCGCTATATAGCACTGAGAGGAGCGAGAGAGAAGAAAGAGAGAATAGCTGCTAAACGAAGATTCGACGTCTAGAGAGAAGGGTTTCAGCACTGAGACTAGTTGGAGGCTGCTACTGACAGCCTTGCACCTAGAGGTTAGAGGTTGGGTGGCTGTTAGGCCTACCGTTCCGTCCGTGAAGATGCGGCTGTCAGCAGCGGTTTTAGTAGATTCCATGCAACACTGTAACGTTCAATGTTGCTAACCGTGCTAACGTTCAGGTGCCATGATTAACCAACGTCGTGTCCTCGGCACATCTCGTGACCATCCCTACAAGCAGTAGGCAGACGAGCCAGCAGTCGCAGCTCGACCCTCCGTCGGGTCCGATCCGGTCGATTCGTATTGGTTGGCTTATCAATCGGTTGTGGCTAACGCGTTGGGATCATAACTGACATCACACCATAACCAGTCGCAGATCATTACAAGCCGGTGCTATCCTCTTTCTCTTTCCCTGTCCGTTTCTCAGCTGTGTTCTTAGTTTTCTCTCTCATATTGCAGTCATTTTACATAGTCATCTTTGGGGAAAAGATTTGCATTCTCGATTGCCTTAGTCAAGTGTCCTCAGACTATATCCCATTCGTGCCTTGCTTTTCTTCAGTGTCTTTTCAGTTTTTTTCCCTATTTGTTTTCTTCTCGTTTTGTTGTTACATTATGTGCGTTTCTGTATTAACACATCAATTTAACTTCGTTTTTCTCGGTAGCAGCAAGTTTACGAACTTGTAGAGCACTAGTGCGCTCATCTACCTTCGCGCTACTACTTACAGTACGTAGGAGCCGCATTAGGCAGTTCTCCTATTAATGCATGGATTTCACCTCTTCGTGATTTTACGCTCACATCTTTATAGCTTGTTGTTGCTTTGCAATAGCATGCGATCTATTGCATACGTTTTAACAGCATAATTTAAAATTTCTATTTTTTCCCAGAGATGTACATATATATTTATTCCGAATGATTGAATATAATAAAAATTCTATTTTCTCATTTGACTCAACACAATGATTGATCATCTGGTCGTGATCTCTGTCACTGAAACCTGGTTAGCTCTCTATTTATACTTAGAAAATCGCTGACCAAAATCTTCTTGTAATCTTATTAACAAGATAGTTTTGGGACCATTCGAATGTGTGCGGACATGAAGTTTTGTGTAGTAGAAATTTGTTATATGAAAAGCATCGGAAGGTTCGTTAAAATTCATGGCCATGAGACCGTTTTCTGCCACTTACAATTAGTAACTAAACTACCTTATGTCTTCGTACAACCTCCTTCTTTCAAGGAATTTTCGGTATTCTTTGTCTTGGACACAGATATAGATCTCGATATAATTCTTGATGTTTATGGGTATGCGAAATGTATCTCACGGAAATGGGTCAGTGTTTCGCGTGTTTCATCATGCGAAAGTTGAGATTGGGTCATTTTTCCTGTAAATTCATAAATTGTGCATTACCTTTGCTTTTCTTTTGAGCCTATAAATTTCAGGTTGTTTCTTTCTACCAAGGTGATAAGTATTCTTTTAGTGATGTATTTTGTTTTGATGATATTGTGATTTTTTTATAGGTAACTTACATAGTTTGAAATAAGATTTTTAATCATCTACGTCTACAGTTCAATGTCTTAAGAGAATCTTTGTAAACCTGCAGTCAGCCCATTAGCATGCGTTCACGGCCATTTCTCAAAGAGATGTACCAAGCATGCTTCCTTATGTTAGATTTACAAAAGATTTGACGAAGTGTTTTTGTGCAAACGTAACGCAACTAGAGTAGTCTGGCACAAGATCTAGAAAGAACGCTGCGAGATTCACCAAATTCCCGCAACCTATAATCAATAATGCATTTAAAATAAAACGTAAAATTTCAAGGGCGTAGAGAAATTGGATTGAACTCGCAAATATAATCTTAATTTGTTTGGAGGGTATGGTCGAAGAAAGAGTACCCAAATTTTGATTTATTTTCGCCGCACTTTTTTCTTTACTTAACGAGAAGCGTATTTTTCTTTGAGAGAACAAGCGCATGAGTTCCTTGGTTCCATGTATCATCAGTTATAGACCTTTTTTTTGGTTTTTTACTTACCTGTTGAGATTGAATTATGAAGCGGAATAAAATTGTACCGAAACATTGCAAACAATAAAATGCTAAATTTAGAATAGCGTGCTTTGTGAAATGGTTTTCATTATCTTCTTCGAAGTCTATTTATTATGTATGATTGATATTAGACGTTGAAGCATAGATATTAATGAAAAATGGACATACCTTCAACAATTATCGAAGTTTGGGGAACTATTGTTAATAACAGTAAGAATTTTTTTTGTTACTTCACAATCGATATTGCTGCCCATGTTTATTAATTCGTTTTGAGAACAACAGAGAGGTTAACTTCATAGTTCGTTCAAATTCACTGTTAAACTAGTAAGTTTTCTCCAATCAGCTAAAAAAATGCTCTAAATTTGAAACCATAAACAGTTCAATTGTA